GTAAATGAAAATCATAACAGTTTTGAGATTTCATCTCACCTGTCAAAATGCCCATTTTTCAATTTTAATCTGGTAAATAATGAGAGATAAAATGCTATTGGAGACCCCCTGAGGACGAGTTTAAATGTGAACAGGAGTTATGAGAACAAAAGTTCAAGAACATAGGCCCAGGGCCTATCACCCAGCCTAGCTGATGCCTGTATGTGGGTTAGAGAAAGTCCTTCCTCAGGAGTGATGTGGCACCACGTTAGGGCACTGGGCCTGAATGTCAGCATTGTATGGGCTAGATTCTTTGAGAAACACACAAATTACACAACTGCACATGGTGACCCTCTGTTTCTAAAGCACGGTAACTGGTAACCATCTCTTAGCTTCAGTGGTTTCTTCACCTCTCTGTGGATGAATTCCAGACTTCCCAATGTGCTGAGCGCCTGTACCACTCACTTCTAGTTAGACCTCAGGTGCTCCTTGACATGAGCTCTGCGCACTGGCTAAACTTTGCTATCTTTTCCTGCTTCCTTCTACCTCTTCCCTTAGTCTTGTTGGCAAGAGCCCTGGAAGTCAGCGGAGCACTTTGAGTGGATCCCTGCGCTCTACAGCATTTGCCCAGGGAAGAGGCGGTGGGAAGTCTAACGAGGGAGGTTTGTCTGAGAAGCTGGAGCGTGGAGCGTGTGTCTTAGCTCCTCATCTTAGTGGGTTTTCTCATGGCTGTGGCCAACTGACTCACAAAAGCAACGGAGAGAGGAGATCATATGGGCTTGCGGTAGCTTTGAGGGCCCATTCTGTCCTGGTGGGAGTTTATGACGTAAGGAGCACAAACGAGCCAGTCATGTTGCATCCACAGTCAGGAAGCTGAGACAAGTGGTGATGCTCAGCTTGCTTTCACTTTTTTTTTTTTTTTTTTTTTTTTTTGGTTGTTTTTTTTTGTGTAGCCTTGACTGTCTTGGATTTTATAGGCCAGGCTGGCCTGGAACTCACAGAGGCCTGCCTGCCTCTGTCTCCCTGAGTGCTGGGGATTAAAGGCACACACCACCATGTTCAGCTTGCTTTCACAGTTTAACTCAGTTCCGGGATCTCTCCAGTCCATGGGATGGTTTCACCAATATTCAGGGCAGGTCTTTCCTTTCCATCTATGCCCTTTACATCCAGCAATGTGTCTCCATGGAATTTATAAGTTCAACCATCACGTTGACAGTGAGGATTAACCACTACGCCCTTCAGACATTTGATGGACTTCCGCGTTTGTGCAGGGACAATGGCAGCTACCTGTTGAGATTGCTATGGGAAGCAGATGTCCAGGAGAGGCTGGGTCCCTTTCATTTTTACCCCCCAAAGAGCCCAAAGAACAAGGAAAAGTCGTGGGTGTTCACAGGCTAAGAGGACGACAAGTTGTATGCTGCTTGTACATTCCACCTGTGCTGTCCTAGTCATCAGGAACAGGGTTCCTCTTGCTGCTCCCCACTCCTTTCCTGCAAGCTGACAAATGCTGATGCATGCCTAACTATTTTAGAATCTGCCAGTTGTCAAAAATACCCAGTGCTTAAAAAATATGCAGTTACCCAAGTGCCTTTCCTCCAGGTGCCAACAGATCGATCCCCTCAATAGAGCAGAGAGAGAATCATGTTCCCCTAATGGCCCCAGCATTCAGATTCAGGCGGCACTCTTTAAGAGTTTGGGGGATTGATTAGCACCGTTCATCACTCTCCTAATACCTCAATGGAGGAGGGACGTGACTTACGCTAAGTTACAAGGAGAATCTGTGGAGAACGAGGGCTTTGAACTGGACTCACCCCATCAGCCATTATTCTTCACTGGGGAGAATGCTCCCAGAGGACAAGGACTGCCCTATTCATCTCTCTATTAACAGCCTTAAACCATGGCCAGATATGGAACAGGTGCTCATTAAGAAGTCATTGAATTCATGAATGAATAAAGCCCATCCCAAATGGGCTTGGACTATATCTTGGCAATAGCTAACTACCTATTCCCCCAGTGAAAATGTGTTTGGGGATCAGTCTTAGGTACTATGGATACAGCGATGCACAAAACAGGTTACACCTGTAGCTTCAACAGCTTAATTTTTATCTGGAGAGACACCCCCCCCCGACAAACTAATATGAATATTTAAACTGTTACAGAATAGTAATAAATTCTAGACAGGAAAATGCAGCTGGTGAGGGGCTGGGCGTTAGTTATTAGGGCAGGGTTGTTGGGACTTTGGTATAGAAGGTGGTCAGAGAATGCCCTGTCGTTTCTCAGTGACGTGAGGGGAACCAGTCTTACAGATGTATTGGGAGAGAGCTTGGCAGGCAGGCAAGACAGCAAGGGTAAAAGTTCTTAGGCAGGTCCAAAGCAGTCACATCAAAGTCAGGGACAGAGGATGAGGCAGGAAGTGACATCACAGGATGCTGGGGAAGCATAGGCTGAGTATGGCTTTACTGATGACGAGGCACCAGATGGCATTAGAAAGGTGATGGAGGAGCCTCATGTTCACAGGCCTTGCATTCCAATGCAGTTGGATGCCGTAGAAAGGTCTGGAGAAGAAGCAACCTGACACATGTAAAAGGGTCTCTGCACAGTGATTTAAGTGATGTAAAATTTTTTTCCAGTGACATTGTTACTTTTGAAACTAAGTAAGTTCACGGACTTGATGCTATTTATTTATTATTATTTTTTTTCAGGTGAATACTTTTATTTATTCATTAATTTATCATCTATCTGTCTGTCTATTTATCTATCTATCATCTATTTATTTACTTAGAGTTTTTTTTTATACTTTTTTTTTATTAATTACACATTATTCATTTTGTATCCCCCCATAAGCCCCTCCCTCCTCCCCTGCCGATCCCACCCTCCCTCCCCTTTCTGCATGCATGCCACTCCCCAAGTCCACTGATAGGGGAGGTTCTCCTCTTCTTTCTGATCTTAGTCTATCAGTTCTCATCAAAAGTGGCTGCCTTGTCCTCTACTGTGGCCTGGTAAGGCTGCTCCCCCCTCAGGGGGAAGTGATCAACGAGCAGGCCAATCAGATTATGTCAGAGGCAGTCCCTCTTCCCATTACTATGTAACCCACTTGGACACTGAACTGCCATGGGCTACACCTGTGCAGGGGTTCCAGGTCATCTCCACGAATAGTCCTTGGTTGGAGTATGAGTCTCTGGGAAGTTCCCTGTGTTCAAATTATCTTGTTCTGTTGCTCTCCTTGTGGAGTTCCCGTTCCCTCCAGCTCTTACTATTTCCCACTTCTTACATAAAATTCCATTCACTCTGCCCATCAGTTGGCCATCAGGCTCAGCATCTGCTTTGACAGTCTATACTGCAGAAGCTTTCAGAGGCCCTCTGTGGCAGGTTTCAAGGTTGTTTCCTGTTTTCTTCTGGCTTTCAGAGGCCCTCTGTAGCGGGTTCCGAGGTTGTTTCCTATTTTCTTTTTCTTCTGATGCCCATCCTCTTTGCCTTTCAGGATGGGGATTGAACATTTTAGTTAGGGTCCTCTCTTTTGCTTAGTTTGTTTAGATGTACAGCTTTTAGTGGGTTTATTCTATATTGTATGTTTATATGAGTGAGTATATACCGTGAGTGTCTTTTTGCTTCTGGGTCAACTCACTCAGGATGATCCTTTCCAGGTCCCACCATTTACCTGCAAATTTCATGATTTCCTTATTTTTCATTGCTGAGTAATACTCCATTGTATAGATGTACCACAGTTTCTGCATCCATTCTTCAGTTGAGGGGCATCTGGGTTGTTTCCAGCTTCTGGCTATTACAAATAAAGCTGCTACAAACATGGTTGAACAAATGTCCTTTTTGTGTACTTGCGCCTCTTTTGGGTATATGCCTAGGAGTGGTATGGCTGGATCTCGCTATTCCTGCCTACAGATTGGGAAAGAATCATCACCAACCCTCTATCTGACAGAGGACTCATATCCAATATATATAAAGAACTAAACAAGCTGAAAAGCAACAAACCAAGTAATCCACTTAAAAAATGGGGAACAGAGCTAAAGAGAGAATTCTCTGCAGAGGAATATCGAATGGCAGAGAAGCACTTACAGAAATGCTCAACCTCATTAGCCATTAGGGAAATGCAAATCAAAACAACCCTGAGATTTCACCTTACACCCATCAGAATGGCCAAGATGAAAATCTCAAGGGACAACACATGCTGGAGAGGTTGTGGAGAAAGGGGAACCCTTCTCCACTGCTGGTGGGAATATTTTTATTGCTTTTTGTGACCTCACTTAACTTTCTCTTTCTTTTGCTATCATTAATATTTTTATTTTATGTGTGTGTGTGGCATGAGTAGTGTATGCACACGGGAAGAAGTGTACGTGAGGCTGTGTGTGGAGGACAAACGCTGCTGTCGGTGTTTCCCTTGGTCGAATCCGGAGCTCACCACTTCCAGCTATTCTGACTAGGAATTTCACACCTCTGCCCTCTGAGTGCTGCAATTTCAGCTGGACCACCGTGCCCGCTTGGCATTTACGGCATTTTCATAGGTCCTGGGGATCCAAACTGCCATCCTCATGTTTGAATGACGAGCGCTTTACCAGCTGAGCTACCTCCTGAGCCCCCTTACTTTATTATTGCTTTAATTTTTAATTAGTACATATTCATTGTACATAGTGATGGGTTCCGTTAAGATAATTTCCTTCAAGTGTAACATGTGTTTGGCCACATTCACTCTCAGATGCCCTTCTCTCTCTCCTCATTCCCCCAGCCAGTTTCCTACTCTCCTTCCTTCCTCCAGCCTCCCTTCTGCTTTCTTGTCTGTCTCTATCTCTCTGTCTCTGTCTTATCTCTTGGGCATCTCTTTCTCTCTCATGGTTTTATGTATCTATATGAAGTCTAGGATCCTTGAATGAGAGGAAACATTGACGGTCGGTCTGTCTGAGTCTGGCTTCTTTCATGGAGGAGCAGCAGGGGCTCATTGGCCTCAGCCCTGGGAGGGAACTGGGCCATCCACCGTTCAGGGATTCCTTCCCCTCTCTTCTTGCCCACAGGAGACTGGAGCAGAACTTCTTCAACTGCAGCTGTGACATCCGCTGGATGCAGCTGTGGCAGGAGCAGGGGGAGGCCCGGCTGGACAGCCAGAGCCTCTACTGCATCAGTGCTGATGGCTCCCAGCTCCCCCTCTTCCGCATGAACATCAGTCAGTGTGGTGAGTGAGCATTAGCATTGCCTGGTCCGGCAAGCACCCCACACACCCCACAAAAGGGGCTGCCCCTCAGACTGGCCTGCCAGAGCCTCCTTCCCACCTGTCTCCAGCCTTGATCTTTGCTGTGGGTGCTGCTAAGGAGATTTCCCTTTCTTGGTCATTCCTGCCTTGAGGCTGTTGTGGAAAGGATAGTTTTAGGAAAGAATGCAGAAAGAAGTCATGGGCCATCCTGAGCAAATCAGATTCCTTTTCTCTCTGAATCACCTGTCAATCAAATGAGAGGAAGCATGTCTTTGTTATTGTTGTTTTGTTTTGCTTTTTAGAGACAGGGTTTCTTTGTGTAACCTTGGCTGTTCTGGACTTGCTTTGAAGACCAGTTGGCCTTGAACTCACAGAGATCCCCTTGCCTCTGCCTCCCCATGTGCTGGGATTACAGGCTTGTGCCACCACACCCAGCTAAGAAGCTTGTCTTAATGTGCAGCCTCTGAACTTACTGTATCGGGAGCTTCTGAGGCATTTTTCTAGAACATCTGGCCCAACCAGAGGCCAGAGAATGGAATCTCTAGTTCCCATGGGAACCTGACATACACCAATTTGTGAGACTTAGTACCCCAAGTTGATTGAATATATATGCTTGGTTGCTAGAATGGGATTCCACAAACAGGTGCTCCACTCATACCCTGCGGTGTAGGAACTTTCCACTGTACATGCTTCAGTTCTGAGTTAGGAGGTCTATGGAGCCTATAGGGGCTGTGGGTCAGCTGGAGTCAGGGGTTTTAGTCATTGCTTTCCCCGCTGATCTGACAAGAGCAATTTGAAGAAGGAAGAATTGATTTTTGTCCCACATTTTGAGGGTATGTCTTACCATGGTGAAGGAGGCATGGCTGTTTGAGGGGAAGCTGAGGCAGTTGGCTGCTTTGTGCCCATAGTCCAGAAGCAGAGAGAGTTGAATGTTGGTGCTCAGCTCATGTTCTCCTTTTGATTCAGTTCATGCTCCAGCCCATAGAATGGTGTCTTCACATCTCAGTTAATCTAATCTAGATCTTCCCTGGGGCATGTGCAGAGGTGTCTCTAGGTGATCTTAGAGCTTGTCAAATTGGTATTCACTACCACAGGGGTCTCACATGAGCTCAAACAAGTCATGCTAGAGCTGTCTGTCGCTGGGCAAGGCAAGAAGTACCACCATCTGCCTGGAGGCAGAGCTCCTCTGCTTACTGTCCACTAATGTTTTATGGCCCTCTGTCTTATCCTCCCAGATCTCCCCGAGATCAGCGTGAGCCACGTCAACCTGACCGTCCGAGAAGGAGACAATGCTGTAATCACTTGCAATGGCTCTGGTTCTCCCTTGCCTGATGTGGACTGGATCGTCACTGGGTTGCAGTCCATCAACACCCACCAGGTAGGTGTCCTATTACCAGGCCCATCAAGACTTAAGGAACGAGTTTCCCTTAGGTATAAGGAAGAGGAGGGAATTGTGATTCTGTCCCTCTGGGAAGAAAGACTCAGAGTCTATCTAGACGCATTTTTTTTTTTTTTTGGTCGTTTCTGTCTTTGCTATGGTGTTTAACCCTCTGTACTTTGGTTTCCTCTTTTGCAAAAAAAAAAAAAAAAAGACCCAATTTTATCACTCGCAACCTAGTGTTAATATGAGGATCACCTCAATTACAAGGAATCTGGAAGATGATCTGGGTTTTCCACTAGCTAGACTTCATTCACCTTTTCCTTATTCCTGGAGGTATTAGGGGTTAGAAAGAAAAACCATCCTTGTGCAAATGGTTTGGTTATTGTCTTCTGATTGGGGTTTTCAGACCAATCTGAACTGGACCAATGTTCATGCCATCAACTTGACCTTGGTGAATGTGACGAGCGAGGACAATGGTTTCACCCTGACGTGCATTGCAGAGAACGTGGTGGGCATGAGCAATGCCAGCGTTGCTCTCACTGTCTACTGTAAGTGCATGCCATCCTGGAGGACAGAGAGGTACCAGGAGGAGGCTGGGGATGGGGCAGATCCATTGTTAGACCTGATCTGGAGCCCTGACTCTGTTCTTTCAACCAGGGCAGAAAGGTTGTCATAAGGCAAAACTGAAAAAAAAAGTTCTTAGTCAATAAATCCAAGAAAATGTCCTTGCCCCCCAGTGGAAGGTATACAGCTCCAAATCAGTTTCATTTTCAAGAATTTTTTAAGTTGGCCCATTCTATCTTTGGCATCCCTGAAAGGTCTCAGGAGGGACACTCCATCTAAGATAGCTCCAGGGTGCTTAGATAAAGACCCTTGTCTCTTCCCCTCTATTGGCTGCTGGTGGGAACTCTGCTTCACTCACACTTTTCAGAGCAGGGTGAGAAGTGGGATCCCCATCCTACTTCTTTGAGTGTCCTTCAGTACATAGGAGACTCTGTGTCCTCGATATCAGCTTGCTTTTCCCCACAGACCCTCCACGTGTGGTGAGCCTGGTGGAGCCTGAGGTACGCCTGGAGCATTGCATTGAGTTTGTGGTGCGTGGCAACCCGACGCCCACGCTGCACTGGCTGTACAATGGGCAGCCATTGAGGGAGTCCAAGATCATTCACATGGACTACTACCAGGAGGGTGAGGTCTCGGAGGGCTGCCTGCTCTTCAACAAACCCACCCATTACAACAACGGCAACTACACCCTCATTGCTAAGAATGCCCTGGGCACGGCCAACCAGACCATCAATGGCCACTTCCTCAAGGAGCCCTTTCCAGGTGAGGCATGTACACATTTCTTCTGGGAGCTGAGGGTGGGTAGTTTGAAGGGATGAGCAGCACTGATGATCACAGATACCCGGATAACTGAGCTCACACTAGGACATAGCCACCATCTGCACCTTGTGCTGTCTAGGAGAGCCTCCATTTCCATGAGTATCATGGCAACTTCCAGGCTCTCCCCCCCCCTTCCCCCTTGAGGAAAACCTGTTGTGCATATAAAGATGTCCTTTGTTATGGTAGAGAAATCAGGGGCTTTGGAGATAGATGATATGGTAGAGAATCTTGACCCAGTGTTTTACTTGCCTGAGAGTGCTATGCTGGGCTTGAGAACATACTTTTATGAAGCCTCCATTTCCTCAGCTGTGAAATGGTCACAAGTTCACGGACATTGCTCCACTAAGAGTTTTCTGGCTTTTCAGTGAGCTAAGGTGTGGGTTTGGTATGTGATGTTGACTCTCCATTGCAATGATCTTTAGAGTTGACCAGAGTCAACCCCATAGTTAATAGATTGCTGTCTCAAACCTTGGAAGCAAGGCTTGCCTTGTAACAGGCCTCCAGGCCTGGGCTCTCTTCTGCTCTTGTTCCATGGTAACTTGGTAGGAAAATAGATGATGCTACCAGATTTTGATGGTGCAAATGTCACACTGTTTGGAGCCAATAATTGCAGTAAAGGAAGAACTCAGAACCTGTGGGGGCGATTCGGCCTCCTTCAGTTTGTCCAAATAACCTTCCTGAACTTGGAGAAGAAGAAAAGTTCAAAAGGGCTTAAAGAGAGGCTGGTGCAATGTTTCTCGATGGGTTATGTACCTGATAAGTTTCTGCCTTTGCGGCTGTGTTTCTTTGGTGACTTTCGTGATTTGTGTTGGGAACAGACTAGGAGACTTCCTCATCTTCAACCTCAGAAGTTCAAAGGGGACAAAGGGAAGCATATAGAGTGATATCACACACTTCTGAAATAGGGAGGCTTCAAAAGCTAGCACCATGCAACATCTGTTTGGAGGCGCATGAGCTCATAGCTACAAATAACCACCAAGTGGAGGCTTGAAAGCTTATTTATCTCCATGTGCGGGAGGGAGAGCTGAAGCCCCACAAGTGGCTGCATGTTGTTCTAAACGCTTGTCATTGAGGTCCAGGGGATGATGGAGCCATACCTTAGAAAAGGTTTAGAATGTGCTGATAATTGAGACCCTAGCAGTCTCTAGGGTCTGACCTTCCCCCCAGTGCCACTCAGGTATGTTCGCAAAAGAAGCCTCAGGGCATTTCCTGTCATGGTCCATAGTAGGATCTCTTTGGCTAGAAGAAGAGTCCTTGCCTGCACTGTGGCATCAACGGCTTTTTGAATACGGAGATAATTTGCTCTCATGGACCAAAACGTTGCTGCCACAAAGAGCTAGTATGGTCTCTATAACTCACCCGAGTGCCTTCCCCATGATGAGTAGAGTGAAGCAGCATTTCTGTTTCCAAAGGGAAGCTCTTGGAACATGGAGAGAGCCCTGGAATATTAAAGAGTGGGCTGAGCCTGGTCTGATCTTCTTTCTCCAGGGAGTGTTCTCAAAGCTACAGGGCAGCAGGGGCAACAGTGATGTGATAGACATAGCCTTTGTTTTCTCCTTTCTCCTTTCAGGAGAACACAGTACCTCAGTACGCTCCAGACATGTAGACACAGCCTCTGTACTTCCACCTATATTCACCATAGTTGGTTGCCGGTGCTCCTCAGGCTTGGTTTTCAAGGTTTCTAGAGAAGCAGTCAGTATCACCTGGGAATGAGTTAAACGACTTAAAATTCAAATCCTCACGTTCCCTTAGCTCTCGAATCAGGCTCTGGGGTGAGTTCTGTAGAGATGGATTTTCCATTTCACAGGTGACTTTGACAGTCCGTCTTTTGCAATCAGCTACCATTAACAATTGGTGGCCACTCAGGCCCCACCACGAGGTGAGAAGGAATGAGGAATTGGGAGAAACCCCAGAGAAGCTGGAAAAAGAAAGCAGCATACCTAAGAATGCTTCCGCAGACCTGTCCATATTTCAGGATGAAGGGCTCTGGGCAGAAGTTTGCTTGTGTTAGGAACCCTCGTGTTAAAGGAATTGATGGATGATGAAAAGGCCGTGATGTAAAAGATGCACCAGCCGTATCAAGTGACAAGATATCTCAAAGTTCAGAAGAGTAAATTATCTGGAAAAGCAGGCAGGGATAACCTACACCCCCCTAAGCTGACTACACAGACAGCCTGTGGATCCCGGTCTTCTCTGTTGGCCTGAGTGTGTTAAGACATCACATTTATCATGTGTATGTGTGTCTCTCTCTCATTCCCAGGCAGCCAAGTGCTTTGGTTAAGAGCCCAAACTCTGAGCTGGGCAGATCTAGGTACAAATCCCATCTGTGATTCTCCAGAACATGTCCTGGGATGCTAGGATGGGACTTAGCATGTGGACAGTGCTCTGTGAAAGGGGTTAGCTGCTCAATGCCTCTGCCTCTTCCCTGTGAATGAGCACCATCACAGTAGCTCCTGACTAGGTTGCATTACAGAGCAAATGAAGTACAGTCCACACAGTGTCCAGCAGTATGCTTGAACAAAGAAAAGACTTAATTGCTGTGGGCTCTTGTTATGGTTTTGGAGTGTAGAGATGAGAATTCAGGAGTTCCAGACAAGTAATCATCCCCAGTCCAGGTAGAAAGTTTTAGCGGGGAGTCCCAGGGCAGGTTAGGGTAGTGACTGTGGACCAACACCACCAGAATTCAGGTGTTCACATAATTACCTGCCAGTTGTGTGATCTTAGACCAACTCCTTCACTTGCTTCTCCCCCAAAAGTTGTGGTGGAGGTAGCTGGAGAGATGCCTTGATGGTAGAAGGCCCAACTCCAGTTCCCAGTACTCACATCATACATCTAAAAACCTCCTGGTTGGGATCCGATGACATCTATTTATCTATCTATCTATCTATCTATCTATCTATCTATCTATCTATTTATTTATTTTGGTTTCTGTGGCCACCTACATACACATAAATAAACCTAATAAAAATAAATGTTGTTTTAAAGAAAGTTGTGATGAGGGGTTGGAGAAATTACTGTGCAGGGAAAAGTCCTTGCCCTACAGCAGTGATTCTCAGCCTTCCAGCGACTCTTTAATACATTTTCTTGTGTTGTGGTGACCCCCCCGAACTACAAAATTATTTCACTGATACCTCATAACTGTAATTTTGATACTGTTACAAACTGTAATGTAAATATCTGTGTTTTCCGCTGGTCTTAGGTGAGCCCTGTGAAAGGGTCATTAGACCCCCACATGCGCTGTGGCCCGCAGGTTCAGAACCGCTGCTCTACGAGCATGAGGTCATGTGTTTGAATCCCCGGAGCCCATTTAAAAAAAGTGAGGCATAGCCTCACAGCACTGGGGAAGCAGGGGCAGGACAGACTAGTTCTGAGAGCTTGTTGGGCAGTGAGCCTAGCAGAAACGATGAGCTTTCCCGTTCCAGTGAGCTATCTACCTTTCACATACACACACATGGCTGTGCACACACACAAATCATATATACCTATATACACACGAATGTGTGCATATGCAGTCTCTCTCACACACACATACATACACTTACAGACAAAGACACAGACACACGTACACATACACAATTGTCGTGAATATTAGCCCACGGAAGGGAGGGTGCTTCTTGAAGCATTATTGTCCGGGGCTGCAGGAGGCACACACATCCATTCAGCGCACAGCCCTGTCCCTGCTGGTCCCGTCCTTGTCCCAGTCTGTGGTAGGTCTCAGATGAAGGACAATTCCTGGCATCGCCCCCTGCCCCCGGCATGTTTATGTGAGAATTCCTGCTATAGAGAGCAGCCAGCATGTCTCCGTGTTCCGAAGCTCACATGCTTCTTGCATGTATGCGTGTTGCCCGGCTCCAGCGAAGGACTTGCTGATCTATGCTCAAAATCAGACACTGGTTTTGAGATTACAGGGTTCAAATACTTGGCCAAAATATTTGGCTGCTGGAAAAAAATATTCTCTAATAAATGGGAGCCTGATGAGACATATAAGATAAATGGATCCTGTTGACCAATCTGGCTCCTCTCTCTTCTCATGCCCTGAAGCTCAGGCCACTGCCCCCATCTCTTCCATCATTTCCTAAGCCAGATCTTCCTCACACGGGTGTGCAGAACAGGCAACAAAAATATCCAACCAGACAACAGTTACTGCAAAAGGACCTTTTCTGATAGACTTCTCAGAAGGCATACTGTACCTCACAAATACTCTTAGAAGAATGCCTGCTAGTTTATGTTTAGTAGCCGAGTGGCTACAATCTCTAAGAAGGGTTAGCCAAGGGTCTGGTAAGTGGAGGACCACAATGAATGAATGAGGGAGGCAGGTGACGAGCGAGCCAGTGAATGAATTGATCTTATATTTCCGGGCCTATCAGGCTTCTGAGAGGGGCCTGGTGTTGTAGTGTAATAGCTCCCAGAGGGATCGGCAGCATCATTTTCACCTGAGAACTCAGAGAGGCAAGGTTTTAGGACTGGGAGCGTGGCTCAGTGGTAGAGGACTTGCTCAGAATGCACCGGGGTGAAGCTGGGGGTGTCTCTCAGTGTCAGAAGGTTTATGTGAAATGCACCAGGGCCTGGTGGCATGGTTTTGGGGTAGAGGACCCACCTAGCATGTGTGAGGCCCAGGATTTCATCTTAACCAACATATACACTCTCTTAAGATGTAGGCAGAGATTATGAATCAGAAATTCTGGGTTGAGGACCACCAGTCCTGACCGATTTCACTTCATTTTGAAATAAATTGTGCATTAAAAAATGAGGGAGGGAGGGCGGGATTGGGAGGGGATGAGGGTGGGGGCTATGGCTGGGATACAAACTGGATAAATTGTAAGAAATACAAAATTATATTAAAAAAAGCAAAAGTGACAAACACTGCAAAGCACTTTCTTCTACCTTTCATTCAACCTCCCCAGATGTTGGTGTCTCACTCAAGCCACAATACAGTGTTCAAAACCAGGATACAAACATTGGTTTAATACTGTTTTCTAATTTACAGACTGCTGGCATATAATCGGTGGCCCTGTTAGTATCCTGAGCTTTATAGAATATCACCCAGGATTAGACACGAAATTTAGCTGACCATATCATAACCTCAATCCCTTCGTTCTGGGTCCTTAGGGTTTGTTGTTGTTTTGTTTATTTAAATTTTTTGGTTTGTTTGTTTGTTTTGCCAAAAGCATCATGGAAATGTTTCTCCACCCTTTTGGTCCATCCTGTTGAAGAATGCATGAGGTCATGGCTTATCAGTCGTGAGGCCATCTTGGACAAAGTGCTCTTTGCCAAGTTCTTCCACCACACAGTGACTTATTTCACCCTTAGTTAATCAGAATCAGGATTTGAAAAGACACAAATAGTTTGTTTCCAACCAGCTTTTCATACAGTAACATTCTTACCTGAGCAATTGTCACTGTTGCATTTTCCAAATGATAGTGGTTTCTGTTTCCACCCTTCCCTTGTTAGCTGGAATTCTACTGTAAAGAAGAGCTTCTCCCACTCATTTGTACAATTATACATTTGCTTGTATGAAGGACTTGTGGGTGTTTTTTATAATTCATGCATTTGTTTTCTAGGCTTGTCATGGTAAAGTGGTATAGACTGGATGGCTTAAATAGCAAAAATCCATTTGATCACAGTTCTGGAGGTTGGAAATCCAAGACCAGCTGTTGTCAGGCTTGTTTTCTCCTAGGATTCTCTCCTTGGCTTGTAGATTCTGTCTTCTCCGCACCCTTGCTTGACCTTCCCCCTAAGCACATCTATGTCCTAATTCCTTCTAATTAGGACCCTACTGGCCTCATTTTCATGTATGCATCTTCTCTCCAAATACAGTGACATTCTCAGGTACTGGGTTACGACGTAGTTATATGGATTTTGAGGCAGCCCCGAGTGTAGTCATAACTAACCATAGCTCTTTCTATTGTTTGCTCAGATCACTAGACATTTCCACTGATCATCAATGCCTGCTTTCTCTTTCCTGGACTTTCTTGTTTCCTGGTGCCACAAACATGCTTGTCATTTTTTCTGTCCCAGATCTGAAATAGTCCATTTCTTTAAGATGGTCCCATTCCTTTCATGATGGTACCAGTCACCTTTTGATGATCCATCCCATTATGTGCTTCAGTTTGAGCAATGCTGATAGAGTCCTGTTTTAGATTTGAATCAACTCTAATCTCTTTCTAGGTGAATGGTATTCAATTAGTTAATCTCTGTAACTCTGCTATACATCTTCTAGGAGGTTATAAGGTGAAGCATTGCCCTTGAACATTGCCCTTGACTCACAGTCAGTGTCCAATTAACAATTAGCTTTCATCATTGGGGGAGCCATTTCTGCAAGTCAAAGTTCAGATAGCACATGTCCACATGGATGGTAAGAAGATTCTAAGGGGGCTCTCCCGAACTTCTCAGGGACCTATCATCATTGCTCATGCCTAATGAGGGATAGAAATTCATTTTAGGGTCATAGCTGGGCCTGCTCTGAAGTGCTATCCCCTGCGTTCTGGCACCTGAAAGAGGGATGCTGTAGACAGGGATGTAGATACAGCTTCAATTCTTGGTCACACAAGAAAACTAGCTTGGCTGTTAGCTCCAAGTAGGTTTTGTTCTTTGAGAATAGGGACTATACCTGTCAAGACTCCATTTGCTGGAGTACCTCCTGAAGAGGTAGTGCAGTGGTTAGAGGGGTAACTTAGGAAGAATTTCTGGTGTGTGTCTTGCTGTGAGAATGTGGTACTGTGGAAAGCGGGAGAGGTCACAGCTAGAAGGATGCTGCCCCATACACCCCCTGATCTTTTTGTTATTATTACATCTGTTAATTACCTCTTTCTTCTTTTTTTCCCCCCAGAGAGTACCGATTTCTTTGACTTTGGTAAGTCTGCTTGACTTTGGATTTGAAACTCTTTTGTCCTGATAGTTTGGTGACTGTTAAATTCACACTGCCCCCTTGCCCAGTCAATGTTCCCACCCTTTTGGCAATTGAGGGTGTCTTAGTGTATCATGAAAAGGAAGAAGTCTTAGGCCCACTTACCTTGGATAGTTGTCCTGTATCACAGTTTCTTCTAGAGGACTACCAACCACCTCATTCTGTACTGGGATTAAACGAGATATTTTGCAGCTGAGCTATTTTCCTACTTTGGCCCACTCGGGGAATTTTCTAAGGTCTGACCATATTTCAGATCTCTCTGCCTTGCTGAGAAGGGGCAGCAGAGGGTGAATAATGGGTTTGACATGCCTATTTAGTCCCCCATTGATCACCTCAGTTGTTTCTATAGAGGAATGTGGAGCATGGGAACTTGCCAGTGTTTCTTATCTGCCTTAAGAGATCAGGTATTTGGGTAGAACCTACCTTGGGTAGGTGATTTCTCATGGGTTCATGTGTCCTTAAATGCTACCACTGAATCTCAGTTTGTAAGAGAGTTGAAGGTAGGGCTGGACAGCCCTTGGAGGAGTTGGGGTTTTGCTTACTTTTTCTTAATTACTCCCGCGTGATGCAAGCACCAACAATCCCTGACATTTCTACCCAATTTCAGGCCAGAGATAGTAGAACAACCCCATCTAGGAACACTCTGGCCATTTGGCACATATGTAAATTCCAACGCTGACTGCTTCACTTGTTCTTGGTCATAAAAAACTTAAAATCTCACAGATCTCCCTTAAGAGAATTCAGAACTGGGGTCATTTCTTGCAAGGAAGTGATTGTAGATAAAGGTTGAAACTTGGCGCTGTTTCCTGGTCCATTGACTCTTGTTTAATTCTAACTGCCATCGTGTTCTGAGTCAGTCTTAGGGGAATGGATAGATGGCTGTTCATATAAGGTGAGCCTAGGATTCACCGAGGAGTGAGAAGAAAAGAGGGGAGGAGAGCAACAGGAAGGAAGAAGAAAAGATGTGCCCAGAAGGGGTAACAGAGTATCAGTGACAGTGGCTGCCACTGTTAAAATATTCCTAATCTTCATGCTGGCCAGGAGTCCAAGCCAGTTTCATCAGTCCTGTCCTGTGCTTTAGGTTGTGGTGGGTTCTCTGCTCAGGGGTGGAGGTCTGTATTTCTTGGAGATTCTTTTGTAGCACTTTAGCATGAGACAGGTAGGTATACTGGGACTCACTTAGTCCCTGTTGTCTGCTCAGCTAGGAGGCTGGATCTAGGGACCTGCTTCCCAAGGACAGGGCAAGCACTTATCTGTGTCTCCTGGCCAGTAAGCTAACTGGCCTCCTCTTCTTTGTATTTTTTTAAGAGTCTGATGCGAGCCCTACACCCCCTATCACCGTGACCCACAAACCGGAGGAAGACACTTTTGGGGTGAGTTACTTCTTCGTTAATAGGAACACACTGAAGGGCAGAGTCATTTTTGGATTTCGTTTGAGGTGCTAATCTGTCCACACATTCTCTCACTTGGCATTTCAGTACCAATGGTAGGGAAAAAAAGGCAATGAGGAATGATTTCCTCTGAGGTAGTTTAAACTGTCCTTGTTTGATGGGAGTACTTCACTGTTTGAAGAGGCCTTTGAGGAAGCTGCTCCAAGCTTCAGGGCTAAGAAGAGAAATTTTGAAATTCCTAGTTCTTTAGGACCCTGGCTAGGCCTGGCTTCTTTCTGTTTGGACAAATTTGAGTTACTCAGAGAATCTCCTTGGATAGGTTTTCCCATGCCTGTTTCAGAGTCTGAGGTTCCCCTGGGGAGAAGTAGAAAAGAGTCTCATTAGTTTAGAACTCCGAGGCTTCTCAGTAGAAATACTATGTAAAGATTTCAGTGAGAAGACAAAGAAATTGCTAATTAAAACAGCAGTCAGATGTTTCTCTCATCTTGCTATTGCCTCCAGGTAAGAGGGACTCAGACTATAGAATTAGGAAACTTTTCCTAATTGAGCTGATTAATTTATAGTTTGTTAAATAAAAAATTTAAAAGTTTTCTTAGTAGCTCATAAAAAATCACTTCTAAAATCATTACTCCAGGGGTGCCCAATCTTTTGACATTGTGAGGTAACATTGTCACATGCATAGGTGTCCTGGGGTACATGTGGTACCCCCAATGTAGGTTTCAGGCTGCACACACCTCAGTGGTAGAGGTTTCAGGGGATAGTACTCTGACAAAACAGGTTTGTTCTCACTGGGGACACACATTACTTTTGAGGCTCTTGGGGCTTCCTATGGCTGTTCCTGACTGCCTGTGTTTGACTCCTAATAGGTATCCATAGCAGTTGGACTTGCTGCCTTTGCCTGCGTCCTTTTGGTGGTTCTCTTCATCATGATCAACAAGTATGGTCGCCGGTCCAAATTTGGAATGAAGGGTAAGGTGGCACTTGTTTAGTTCCAAGAGTTCCATGGTTTCCATGTTTTGGTAAAAAAAAAATACTGTTTTCACTTCATGTACTCTTCTGAGGAAACCTCTCATCATTGGTCCTCAGTAGCCCTGGTGGAGACCCCTGTCTGTGCCCTGTTCTGTGTAATTATAGACTGAGGACTGTGTGGGGATCTATGGGAACCAAACAGCAATGCTGAAAACTACTGTTTGTTCACATGGCCTTCTGTGGTAAGGATGGCTTGAGCCAGAAGTTGAGTAAGAGGCAAATAATGATTCTTTTTGTTGTTGGTGATTTAAGGGGCTCATCATTTGAGTGACTCTTTCTCTTGTCTATATATATCTTTGAAATCTTGTTGTGACTTATCACAGTGAGGTGGAGGCTGGTGAACTCTGGCATTAAAAAGCTGCCTGTGCTGTTGCATCTCAGCACGTAGCTCTACAAAGAGTCCTGGAATGGATGCCAAGAGCAACATGGTTTCTAATTCTGCTGGCCAGCTTCCATGTACAGAGCACTCAAGCCCCATTGTGGTAGAAGTGTAGTGCTGAGATGTGGTGATAGGCCAAAGGTCCTGTGAGGCATCTGGCATGAAAGGGGTTAACATGGTGCATTAGCATCCCTGGATGTAGCCAAATGATTTGCAAGAAACTGGGTATTACTGGTTCCAGGACTGAAACTTAATTTTCAAGATGTCTTCCCAGCTAGGGCTGTCATGCATAACTGATGTTGGCAGAGGTGATTAGGGAGGGAGAGTTAAAGGTACAGTTACTTAAGCAACATTCACATTGATGTTTGCTGGTGACATGAGGGAATTCAGAAAGATGAACTCTTAAGGCTTTGATACTAGAAGCTAGTTTCTGAGATGGGAACCCTGACCTTGAGGACTAGGGGTTAAAGAAAAGAACATGAATGACATTCACAGGAACAGAATTCCATGGGTTCATATGTAAAGATAAATGTATGAGTGGCTGTACCTGGTAAAGGGTTGAGTATTTGTACATAAATGAAGCTAGATTTAGTTAAATTTTCAATAATCTGGAACCCCTTTAAAAGTTAAGAGCACTGGCGTATAAGAAGTCACCCAGAAATGACTAAAAGAGTTGAAATGTGGGGCCGGATAGATTGGCCTTTCTGGAGTCCTCTGCCTCTGAACTCTTTGTTGTAATTGAATTTAAATAAGTCCTGGATAAAGGCAAGCCAAATTTTCTTTTCCCCCTTGACCTTTCTCCTTCCATCCCTCTGTCCTTTCCACTTTCCAACCTCTTTCCTTCTCTTCTTTTGTTCCTTCTTTCCTCTATCCTTCATTCAGCTCTTCCTTCCTTTCTTCCTATTTTGTGGAAGTCAGGATTGAACCTAAGGGTATTACATATGGTAGGTAATTGTTCTACCTTTAAACTACATCTCTAGGCTTTGTGAATAGCCTGAAATATTTTGACCAAGGGAAATCCATTTGCTGGTAAGTTCCAAGGAGGAAATAGGTTTTTAAAGGCTTGGACAAGTCCAGACTAACTCTTAGGCACTTTGACTGAAGGCACCTTTTCTGCCAGCACTTACCATTTGTCAAACAGAACTTCACAGGTTTATATGGGATGGCTGCTGGTTAACTCACATTTTTCTGTCTTGGGTAATCCTTGGACACTTGGCTTTGAGCACTGCTGCTATGTTTTTCTTTCTTTTTTTTTTTTCTTTGCCTGAAATGTTTTTCTTCTTCATGTGAAAACATTAGGATGTGAAACAAAGGGAAGAATGGGGCATCAGTGCTCTTCCCACAAGGAGGCTCACCAGCAGCCGACACCCTGAAACATGCTTGGCAGTGATGTAAGGGCAGGTTTTTTCTATTAATTGTCATCCTGTTTGTGGAACAGTGTGTCTCCATGTTGGATGGATTAGGCAGCATTCAGGGCGGTGCCTCCCCTCAGCCATCCTCTGCATCTCCCATCCCCTGATCTCCATTTTCAAGCTGAGATGCCTTATTTAGTCCTGGCTCCTTGAGGAGAATGTGTCCCCATAGGTAGAAATAAAACGTTTCCTTTTCTAAAGTCAGGCAACTTTGAAGCCAGGCCTAAATGGAGAGAGACTGACTATTTAGGATTAATCTTGCATCTCTCTGGTCTTGATCATATTCCATTTTATTTAGGTTTCACCTCCTTTTATAAACAAACAAATGCCATATCTCGCACATAATTTTGATTTTTGGCTGTCAGTGAGCATTATCAGTTACTATGAATTTTAATTGATATGACCAGATCAGTGACAAGTTTTCTTTCTTTCTTTCTTTCTTTCTTTCTTTCTTTCTTTCTTTCTTTCTTTCTTTCTTTCTTTCTTTCTTTCTTTCTCTCTTTCTTTCTTTCTTTTTTTTTGATTCATGTTTTGAAGGTATAGTTCTTTGTGGTTGGAGGGGGTCTAGTAGAGTTTATAGTGGCAGGAGAATATGGTTGGGCCTTCTTTCGTCTCAGCTGACCATGATATAGAGATTAATTTCCTCTTACATACCCTCAGTCCATGGGATGAGGCCACTCATATTTGAAGAGGGTTCTTCTTCCTCAGTTAATTCTCTCTGAAAAATATTTACTGACACATCAAAGCTGTACCTCAATATCTTAGGTCATTCTTTGTTTGTTTGTTTGTTTTTGTTTGTTTGTTTTTGTTCTTTGAAACAGGGTTTCTCTGTATAGTCTTAGTTGTCCTGAACTCACTTTGTAGATCAGGATGGCCTCGAACTCACAGATATCCACCTGCCTTTGCCTCTCTGAGTGCTGGAATTATAGGAATGCACTGTTGTGCCTGGCTGTCCTAGGTGTTTTTAAATCCAGTCGAGTTGCCATTGGAGAGTATTACACAGCATCCAAATCTAGGGAGGAAAGTGACAGCATGAGCACCAACAGGCTCCTCGCTCTGCTTTAGGTGAAACTCCTCTCCTTAAATACACTCCGTTTTTCAGGGTTAGACTTTCAAATCTTGGTGAGAATTCATATTTGTTCTTCAGTTTTTGTACGGTCACTTACTTTCTCATGGCCTCTATTTCGTCAAGTGTAATTTAACCTCATAGTATCATGGAAGCCAAGAGAAAGACAGAGGAGACTGAAGTCTCAATGTCTACCTCAACTTGTATTGCTAATGACCTAACTTCCTCCTCCTAGACTCTCCCCAGTCAAGGCTCTGCCAATCTGCATTAGTGCCACAGACTGGTATCCATGCCTTCAGCACACTGTCTTTAAGGACATTGGGATCTACATTACAACACGGGCATAAAAGGGTTTCCCTGTCTTTCATTTCCTGTTCTTGCTTCTCTTGATGTATTAGTCTTTCTAGCCTCTTTTTAATGTCGGTTCATGAAAATATAGTCCCCCTAAGACTCCATCATGAACCTCTTTGTCTCAGACAGTATGTAGTAGTAAAAATGTCCTTATTACACACTGCCCACAGTGCATTCTCATTTTTCCCCTCACATATCATCTGTCTGTCCTCCTAGGCCAGGAGCAACTTATGGCAGAACCATCGATCACTCAGCCCAGCATGCCAGAAACTTCATGCTGCATTTGACAGGCTCTTGAGCTTAAAAATGAACAGCATCCATTTTAAGTATTTCACTTGTTTTTTTTTTTTTTTTTTTAATGTCTTGCTGCATAGCCCAGGCTGGACTCTAACTTATTATGTAGCCCAGGCTGTCTTTGAATTCATAATCTTCTTGCCTTAACCTTCCAAGCTCTGTGATCTCACAGGTCTTGTTTATATTAATTTTAATCATGAAAAAGCCAGTTTACTAATCTGCAAAGGGCTAGTTTAGAATTCTGAGCTAATTTTGGAGTCAGGGAGGACTGGGAGATGCTCACAAACAATTCCTGCCATCTACACCCAAGGGCAACAGACAAATAGCACATGGTTATGCAGAAGCAATTGAAATGATCTTCATTATCTTCTGAGAAATAAATGTCAAGACAAACATAAAGATGACTGAATAAACTAACAGTCATAGTCCTACTATTTAAACTATTTAGCGTTTTATACTTCCATTGGATGGTTTATTCCTAGAACAGATTAAACATGGCAGATGCTATGAAAACCATGTTACTGACCACTTCTGATTCCTCTCCCATGCTGGCATCATAAGTAGCAGTTGGTGTGGGCCCAGCATGCACCTGCCCATTTCCTGTTTTAGCCTTTATCTGTACCTTTTCTTTTCCATGTCTTTGCTGTTCATGCATACCAACCCTCTGCCAAAGGCCATCCCTCACAAATCCATATCCCATACGTGGCTAAATGGTCATACACCTCACTAGAGTATAACACTGTTTCAGAGGCTGGTTACCATTTTATCTGTATATTTCTAGGTATATGTGTATTTACACATAGCTATCTCTATAAATATCCACATGCAGACTTATACATGTTGTTTATTTGAGTACATTTATAAAAATGCATTACTCTGGGTGTTTAAACTTAAATGTGTGTTTATTCTCTTACTCACCTGCATTATGCCTACTGACTGGCCAGGTATCTCAGAACTATCCATGGACTTGGCTGGATACCCCTTTATGGAGGCTGAGCATCTTAGCCAGATATTATAGACATGAACCAAAAATGTAATGTCTCAGTCCCCTCATTAACAACTTCCAACACATCCATCAAAGTCTTGGTCTGGGAATTTGAGCTCATCCTTTTTTGGAATCATAAAGATTTTTAAATGATACTGAACATACGGCGGGTGTCTTTTCTTTCTTTCTTTTTTTCTGCTACTGATGAAGCGCTGTACCTCAGCCTGGCAGGGCTGATCTGTGAAGTATCTGTATGGCTAAGGATGGAACCAATCAGACAGACCTCCTACTGCAGCATGGCCCGGCAGGAACCCTGTCCCCACTGTGCTAGGCCTTCACTCTTTGATTGCCAAATCCTGGGGTGGCCTGGCTGGATGAGGGGTAACTACTTTGAGGTTCAGGGCAGGAGCTGTTTATTGAAAGCACAGCAATATACAAAATTGTTTCAGAGTT